AGCATGTGGGGAGCTGACACCTTGGAAATGGACACCAGAAAAAAGGGAGAACAGGGATCTGCTGAGAGCGAACTGCCCTTGACGAGTCACACCTCTGCCGCCAGGATGGCTTTCCTGTTCTTCCAGCTCCCTTCATTAGCTTTTGTCCTTCCAGATCTCTGCTCTCTGCCAAACTTTCCCTGTTGTCCGGGAACATTCACTATTGTGTAGGAGAGTCGGGTGGAGGTGGAGGAAGGCCTAGGGATGGCTTAGAAACAGCCAGGTTCCCCGTGGCTCATTAAATGATTGAGCCTTCCAGCCTTGCTGGAAGAGGCACAAATCTGCTTTCTCCAGAGAAAGGTGTGCACATCACACACCTCGGCTCTATAAAACCCTAGTGGAGTTTTCACTGTATTGGGGATTAAGATAGAACATACACCTTTTGTGAATCTTCCTCTGGCAGGTGGCCAACCCTTAGAGCTCTGTCTTAGAAACTTTTCTGGTGATTATTTTGAAAATCAAAACTATTAGATTCACAGCTTTCTGCAACAGGAGATATAAAGGAATAGCTGTATCTCTCTATGGCGAGTTTGCCTCTTAACTCAGTGATAATTAAGATAGTCCACTTTTCTTTTATATTTTTCTCTTTCTTTTCTTATTTTTGGGTTAGCATCTATTTATTTTCCTATTTCTCCCCGAGTCTTGGTAAAAAGAGCCACAAGATCTTTCACTGATCTGAAAGGTTCTGGAAAAGCAATTATAGGTAGTGGAAATGGGTATTAAGAAGGGGAAAAGGAAGGTTTTTTTTCTTCTTCTTCAAATTTATGAATTCTCAAGGGAAATTTTAAAAGAGTTCCTTTATTGCCATTTTTTAAGGATTTTTTTCTTGTGTCCACTTTAATCTCCTCTCATGAGTCATAAGGAGCTCTGATGGTGTAGTGAGCTACACCTTGAGCTGCTGACTGTGAGGTCAGTGGTTCAAACCCACCAGTAGCTTCCCTGAAGAAAGATGAGACGTCTGCTTCTGTAAAGATTTAAAGTCTCTATGAATTAGAAATGACCCAATCAGAATGAGCTTTTGGTTTCTTTTGGTACCATGAACCAGTTGTCAATATATCCATAAACAGTTTTCAGGATGTCTCAGAACTTTTGCCATCAGATCATCATTTCTTATCATTCTGGAAGGAATCATGGAGTTCCATTTCCAGAAATGCTTAATATTTGGATAAAAATAGAAAATTGACAGTTAGTTTTAGGCTTGGAAATTCAGAGTTGATTCCGCATATCAGGTCAGTTGATTAATAAGTGGATTGCAATTACTTTGCTAATTATGGACCTGAGGGAAAACACAAGACAGGAGGCCACAGAAGGAAGATAATTACAGTATAACTGAAGGCCATTTTGACAATGAGGGAATGGGCACAGGAAAAGAGAAGTGGC